CAAGGCTTAGATGATGATGATGATGATATATTGTCTTATCCTAAGACAATTTAGAAGGCAAAGAATGCACTGAAGACCCCTCATCTTCGAGCTGGATATGTTTCCAACATATGTTCTGAGACATTTCCGACATATGTCCTATACTTTGGTAAGCGACATTTCCATCGACATCGACATTTTAAACCTTGGTCTTCTAGCTAGATACGTTTCTTCGGGAGTCATATGACCCCTCATCTTCGAGCACTCCGACTTCTTCGGTTAGGCCTCTAACACTACACAGATGCTATCAGTGATCACTCCCTTTCCAATCTGTGATGGCCTTTCCTTTTCTTGGATTTTTCCAATTGATATCCAGTAAAGACTTCGGTTCAATGAGTACCAACCATTGAAGTTGGAGAACATCGGAGCACTCACAGAGGTCGAAGTGCACAGAAGGGAAGCTGCGATAATATCACAACAATAATATCTTCAATTGCAGCTTCAGAGTCAGTAAGACGAACCTACGCAACCGACGAACATCTCAACTAACTATCTGAATGAACGTCAAAGAAGCCTGACAATGTTGCTGTAGATATCAGTTGTGCCATTGCTTTCCACCTGACCCACCTCCCACAAATGCGGGTTTCTGACGCCCATTATTCTCCGTCTTTGGCAATGGCTTAGTCGAAATGATCATCCCTGACTCCTCCCCAAAATGCTTCCACTATCTCAAACATGTCATTACCTACCTCAACAAGCTCTCTAACCGAGACCATCCATAGTTTTCAAGTCTGACAATGTTGTCGTAGATATCAGTTGCGCCATTGCTTTCCACCTGACCCACCTCTCACAAATGTGGGTTTCTGATGCCCATTATTCTCCATCTCTAGCAATGGCTCAGTCGAAACGATCATCCCTAACTCCACCCCAAAATGCTTCCACTATCTCAAACAACATGTCATTACCTACTGATCAAAAAACATGTCATTACCTACCTCAACAAGCTCTCTGACCGAGACCATAGTTTTCAAGGCGCCAAGGCGAGGCTAGGCGACAGGGGGCGCCTTGTCGCCTAGGCGCCTAGACTTTGCCTAGGTGATTGATTTTTTTAAGTGAAAAATACATATCCTAGGTAGTTCCTTAGGTTCCATAACCATCTTTCCTTAATAACTATCCATAATTTTCATAAGAAAATTATAAACTTCATGTTTATATCTAGAAAATCAATATATTTATGAGAAGAAAAAGAACAGAAAATTCAAAAAATATGGGGACTGAACCCCTATTTTTGTTATAGGAAAAGAAGAAGAATATTTTTGAGGGTTCAATACAGCAGTTAGCAATGTTTGTGTTGATTAAACCCTAACAAATAAGAAAATAATAAAAAGAAATTAGTTTTAAACACAAAAAATGAATATCTTTGTTTAATAATGTCTATTTTATAATTATAATCTCAAAAAAGTAACCATATAAAAGTATATTATAAGACGGTATACAAAACTGCTAGGCGACTGGGCGAGGCGAGCCTCCAAGGGCCTTGACAACTATGACCGAGACACTTATGCCATTGCTACCTCCAAGCTCGAATCCATCGCTCGGAATCTAAATCACCCAAAGTTTAAAATGTCGATGTCGATGGAAATGTCACTTACCAAAATATAGGACATATATCAGAAATGTTGAGGGGAAATATTGTAAAAATTAGAGACAT